ACCCTCTCTGAATCTCTCTTTTACATGTAAGAATACTCAAGGCAGTGTTTCCATAAGCAACTTCCCAACAGAATTGGGGAATGTCCTGATGTCCGTCCCCTTTTTACAACATGCACAGTGTCCTCCTCACCTCGGCAGATGTCACTTGAGAAAGTCGAAGGTTTGTCCCTGACCCCAATGAGCTACGTCATTGAAATTTACTTCTTCAGCTACATCTGCGTGCCAGCTACATTCCCTTTAGAGCAGTGGTTCTCAACCTCATTCCGGAGGACGAGGCCCAGAAATCAGGATTTTAAAAAGATTCCCAGGTGATTCTAATGTGCAGCCAAGGTTGAGAACCACTGCTTTAGAAGGACAGTACCACAGTTTCCATTTTAAACAGTATTTTTTTTTTCATGTCAAGGCTGGGCGGCCCTCATAAAATGTGCCAAACAACAGCTTCACACTGACTTTTTTCTTCTAACAAGACGGGAAGACTTCTACTGAAAATCGATGTAGCCCACACACACCTCTGCTTCCCTGCATCTTTGCTGTCTCTAAATGGAGACACCATCTAACTTTTTGTATTTATGATAGCAAACCACGACAGGACACCTGTTTATAATTCTGATCCTGGTTCTCTGACTTACGGTTATTCGGTGCCTTGGAGCCCCACCTAGATCCCCCCTCTCTCATCACAGACCAGGAAGCTCTGGCCCGGGGATGTCAGGCAGCCCCCTCCCCTGCTGAAATTGGAGAGTGATCCAATATAACTTGGCATGCCTGGAAACCTGTTCCCCGGAAAGCAGGATGAGGTGACTCAACCTAAAGGGACACCAAAACCTTTAGCTTATAGGGTTGGCCCTTCACACAATTGTCTGACTATGGCAAACTCAGCCAACCTTCAAACAGACGCAGAACGGACCGCTAAAGTTAGTATTTCCACAAAGTCTACCAAAGCAAGAAGCTTACTCAGCACCCTCCTCCCACAATGACCCTGTCACCAGGGCCGCACTCGGGACAGAACCCAAGTCCTCGGACGCTCAGGACCAAGGCAGCTGAGCAACGGCGCGTGTGTGTTCAGGACCCAGCAGTGAGAGGCTCCAGCACAGCAGAGGAGAAGGCGCCTGGGGCCTGCTGTATCCCCAAAGGTCTCCTCCCAACAAGGAGGGGCGCCCAGGGGCCCAGGTGGCAGCTGCAGTTAGACAGTGAGGGTGGGGGAACCTGCCAGGGAGGAACCCAGCACCTGGGGTCTGTGGCACCGTCACCATAAACAACACCCTGATGCCTAAGGACACACAACCTGCTCTCCTTACACGAGCTGGCTGTGTGCAGACACAGCTCACACCAAGAAGGCGTCAAGCATCACAATTTGTTCCTTGGGCTCAATTTTTCCACTTCTAGAGGAGAAAATATCAAAATACAGTACCAATTAGAATCAGAAAAAAAACACCATTCTGTAAATTTTTCCTTTCCAAGTAACCATCAGCGTGCTAGGCCACCCACTCTTACTCTACATAGCTTTTTATTTGTATTTTATTTTATTTTTTCCATCACCATTTATTCCCTCTATGACCTCTTCCACCTCCACCCACACCTCATTCCCCAGAAATCACTTGTTGTTAAAACAAACAAGTCATTAAACAAAGTCACTAACATCTACTTGACAAATAACCTAACACCCAACACTTTTTTAATGGCCAAGAGAAATAAAAGCTACTCACAAATGTAAAGCCTGGGGGATATTCTCAACCAGCATAGAGCAAAATTTACAAAATTTAGATGTTTCCAGAGGAAGTAGACATTGATGTATTTACCCAATTTACATGACTGTGGTTTATGTATGTGCATTTAATAAATCCCTTCAAGCAAGAGCATGATGAAGCTAACAATACGTTACTTTCTGGGCATAAGCTGCCGCAACACCAGCATTTCAGAACTTGAGGGAAGGAAACGGATGCTTAGATAAATTGTCTTGTCCTGCTCAGAAGAAGCCTGGCCTTGGGGGTTCAATTAACCCATCAGAATTATCACTGCCTTGTCTCAAAGTATCCAAGATGCCAGGCAAATGCAATCATCCGTGAGATCACAGTGTAAAGCTGAGTCACACGAAGCCTTCGCCCGCGTGACTCATGCAGGTCAGCTGTCAGCCCTCCTCTCGGCTCTAACTCATCCCAGCTGAGGCCGAACAGGAATTTTCCTGTGGTGAGCATCGAGTGAGGAGGTCCAGGTAGAAGCAAGTTGCCACCGAAGCACAAAGAGTTGGGAAGTAGACGAGGAAACTGGTGCTTTACTCCTAATATGTGCAGTACAATTTTGTTAACCGCAAACATATTAACCTAAAATGTGCAGGAAACGGCCCCCACCCACATTGCTGAGCACATGCAAGGTCAGAATAGGAGAGAGAGGATCTCTGTAAGGTGCCTCCTGGGAGCACAGGACCAGAGAGCCTTCCCGGCCTTGTCCCTGTATTCACCGAGGGGAAACGGAAACTGGGGCTTAGTCATGAAACAGCAAGTGCTTGAATATCCCAGAGCCTGTCTCCCTGCGTGGAAGCAAAACACCCTGAAAAATAACTGCTGCTTGGGCACCGAGGCAGCCAAATCTAAGGAGGAACCATCAGTTTTATCTGAAGTTCACTGAAAAGCCAGGTTTTTAAGCAGCAGACGTCAGAGGCACACACAGTTTCTCCCTGAGCCTGGCGGCTGGAAGGAAAAGGGTGTTGGGTGCCTTCTGTCCTTTCTGAGGAAAAAAGGGTGCTTCTGAACGGTCACAGTCACCGCCTTGGGCATTAGGAAGGCAGCCGCCCAGGAAGGGCATGCACGCCTTGGATGCTCCTTGGGAAGAGAAGTCTGTGACAAGTTCTCTGGAAAGCATAGGTTTAGGTCTTTGCAGGACTTAAGTTTTCATCAGGATCAAAATTTGCTATAGAAGTAAACAACCTGAACGCTGAATGAGATGCATGGCCTAAAACGGCGGCAGGCAGGAAGGATATCCTAACTATAAAACGAAGTGACTTGCATCATCACTCAGCGAACTGGGGGTTCGCAGGCCGGTTATGACTTCAGTGCTGAGCCTTTCGCTTTGGTGACACCAATGGGAGGGACTGAAGAAGGCATGGCGTGGGTCAGTGCCTTGTGCTGAAGCATTTTCACTGTGTCTTAGAAACAGAAGCATTTTTTAAAATACTCCCATGGGTGTGTGGGAATCAGAAGAGGAAACAAGGGGACAGACAGCCAGGGCACAGGAAGCTGCTGCCGTCCACGCCGTCCCAGGCCGCCAGCAGCTCTGTGTGCACGGAAGCGGATCCGGTATTTGCAACGTCAAGCTCCACAAACACATGAGGTATCATCGTCGGGATACAATGTTTCTGCCGCTATATTTGAATAAAGTGCAACAAGATTTCCACGCACAGGACTTATGTTGTTCTTTAAAATACTCACATATGCATACACACCACTGCTCTCCCCGGCCAGCAAGCATGAGGCTCACAGTCCCATCTTCTCCAAGGAATTTCTCCGCATCTGTCCAGAGACGTTACAAATGTAAGCACTGTGAGCTGGAGGAACGCAACTCGTGAACATCAGTGGTGAGCTAGAGAAGTCAGCAAGCAAAGACTTACACTGAGTCTGTTTTTGGCCCTAAAATGTGATATTTTACATGGAGTCTTGATTTGACACAGGTGTACCTTACACAAAACCTTTTTTTTTTCATCTTCATGCTTTTGTCTCCTCCTAAAATATATCAAAGTCTTGCATTCAGAAAAATATCTCCTAATATAGGATAACTTGATCTTTTTATACCATTGCCTCATTGTAAACATGAATAGATATGACATTGTCATGAAAACTACATTTGAAACTTGAGTGGTGATGATTTCAACGCCAAATTAACATTTCCAGGGGGAGTAATATGTGGGGTAATTGTGCGATAACATCATTACAATTCAATAAAAAAGCACTTGTTTATACTAGAAAGGATATCCTAGGTATATATCCCTAGTGTTTTCTTCCAACGTTACCTGAGCCGAGCACTCAGCACACTGTCCCCATGCAGCCTGCCCACCCCCTCCTGTGACACATTGAATTCTGACCTCTCTTCGGCCCCTAGAAATTATTACCTACACATCATGCTCACTGACATTTCTTTAATTCTCTCTTTTGAATCGGTTCCATCTAAGGCATAGCTAAGGCCTTGGCCAAGTATATGTACAATTTTAATGTCCAGTTTCATTGTCAAAAACTCATTCACAGCCTCCACTGTTAGCATAGTTGTACTTGGCACTTTTCCCTGAATTTTATTTTTTCAGTCAACTTTACAAAGCCCAGGTTCACAGGATAGGTTTCATGTGACGGGCCAATAGCTCACACCCGAGAGTCACTGCTGAAACACCCCTCTGAGCTCCTGAGACAGACTCAAAGGACCTCGTGGTCACAGCTGGAGGCAGCACACTGTCTGAATTCTGTACGCTGCTCACAACCGGCAGCAAAGGTGACCTGTGCAAATGCACTGGACAAAGTCTGAGCCCCTCTATATAAATGGCCACAAAAATAAGGCAGTGAACATTCTCACTGTCCGTGATCATAACTTAAAATGTTACCCCTTTTCTTAAAACTGAAGAACTAAAGCATAATTTTTTTCTAAATAATTCTGCTTCAAAATATAGATCATAAATATTCCTGACCATACTTAAAGGCTTATTCCTTATTCTATAAAGAATTGAACATTTCTATGGAATTCTATTAAACTTTCATGTCTTAAGAGATTTAAAACAAGGCAGCATTTTCTTTTCCTTTTTAGAAGTAGAATTTTTAAATAAAATAAAATTTGGAAATAATTTCCTCTAGACCTAGGGATTTCCTAAATGAATCAAAGTACTTTTTAAGGAATTTAACCAAAACAATGTGAATTGTTGCTAAGGTAACAGGTACAGCCTTCCTAAACCTCCCCCACCCCCTTGTGTTTTTACGTGCCTGGTCCACATGGGGAAAACACGACGTGAGGCCCACACGCACCTTTCTTCACACATGCGTGCAGTTGGTGGATGGTGGGGTGTCCAATCGACTTCTGTTTTCTTTGGTGTCGCTGAGGGAGGACTCGCTGCGCACCCGACACTTGAACACCTGCTTGTAGGCCTTCCTGAAGTTCTCGGAGAGGAAGGCATAGATGATGGGGTTCACGGAGGAGTTGCTGTAGGCCAGGCAGTGCGCCACGATGCGGAAGAGGAAGGAGGCGGGCGTCAGCGGGAAGACCCCAAACTCGACCCACAGGTGGATGACGTGGTGCGGCAGCCAGGAGATCCCGAAGACCACGACCACCACCAGGACTGTCTGTGCTGTCTGGGGGCAAGGAGGGGGGGTGGGGCGGGAGGAAGACATCTCAGTCCCAACAGGAAAGAACCAAGCATTGCAAACACATCCTAAGATAATTTCATGACTCTTCCCATGGGATCCAATAGATACTAAATCTGTGCTAAGCATTGACCTTCAGTTCACAGACTGGTTTTGTTCAAACTTCTCCAGGACCCGGCATGGCCTGGCGCAGAAATAACTTAGCCATGTGTGTGAAGGGCGTGGAGGATGGGACTGGTGCTTAGGTCATAGGAATAGAAAGGTCTAGAGATTCAACATGGTCCCTTCAAAACCTTCAGCACTGAGCTGCGAGGCAGCTCAGGTGAGCCATGGAGCCTGCCCCGAGCAGTGGTCTCCCCAGAGATGCAGATGTTTAGTTCTCCTCCTCAAACTTTGGCAAGTTAAGGACACGAGTAGGTTCCAGAGACCGTGTGGGTTTCAGTCTGCACAGCAATGAGCCCACTTGCTGGCACTGTAACCCTTCCTGTGCGCCCAACCCAGCAACACCCAGAGGCAGGGTCCCTGTGTGTGAGTGAGGGGGTGTCTACGGAGCAGGGATGAGAGGTCCTCCCCATAGGACCTCGGCAGGGCTGGGCCTCCCTGCCTGCCCTCCGTCCCCTCCTGCCTCCCTCTGCACACTGCATTGGAGACACTCACATCACCTCCTCCAGGGCTGCAAACCCAGGGGTCAAGCCCTGGGCCACTAGCCCTGTGATTCCGCCCCACTGGTTCAGACATGCTGAAAGGCAACAACTACGGAGCTGCTGTGTTAAGCTGACACTCCATCTCTAGGATTCAGTCAGACATGGTGATCTACTGATATTTTTTAAACTATAAAACGCAAAGCAATCAGCTGGTTCCTTCCTTCAAGGGTGGTCTCCTCCACCGAGTGAAGCTCAGGAAGCAGCAGGGCCTCGCCATCTAATGGCGACAGCAGAAACAGGGCCGCGAGGACAGCACTGAGGACTGTGTGACCCGCTGAGGTCACTCCCCATCTGCCCCCTGCTCCCCCAGGGATCACCAGCTGTCAATGAAAGAACTGAGACTCAGAATGGTGAAGACAAGTGCCTGGTGTCCCATGGCTACACGCAAAGTGAGAGCTAGAAGCCAGGTCCCAGTGACCCCAAAGCCATGCCCTGAATGTCTGAGACACAGGCAGGAACTGCTCTGAACTCCTAGCCACCATCAACCGCCTCCCACCAGTCTGCCTGTTGGTGGTGATGTGGGCAATAAAAACACTCACAGGAGACAGCAGCCATAGGTCCCCTCACTGACCATCCCGGGACATCCCCCAGTTCATGTCACCAGGGAGTCTCCGCCTCATGCGGAGAAAGGCTAAGGACATGAGAGGTGCATACTTTCAGCCCCTTGCCTGAAAGTGGCCTCTCTTTTTTCTCAGGTTATTCCAGGTTGAAATAGTTTAAGAGTGTGATTCAGTTTGTGGGAGGGACTAGGAACATTGGACCACTGGCCTCCCCACACATCTCAGACCAAGAAGGCATAGGGGACACATTTCCATCTCCCAGTGAGGACACGAGAGTGCGTGGAAGATTCACCTGCCGGCCACCTGTCCACCTCCTCTCCTATACAGGAATAATCGTGACAAAAACTGATGAATGTGGGAAAGAAAGTGGAGAGGAAACCAGACAGAGAGAAGGAAGAAGGTGAGAACAACATATGGAGCTTTATTTGTCTAATAGCCCCACACGGGAGAAAGAATGAGACCCAAGAAAGTGATTTCATGACCAAGGAATCACGGTTACACCACAAATTCCTCCGTGTGGGAAAGGGGGACCCCACATCTCTGCACTGTGGGGACATTCCCACGTGACAAAATGACTTTTCTATTACTTGTCATGCGTTAGAATCTCACTATTCTAGGAAACAACACCCAGAATGCAGCAGGGAAGACACCGACTTTGTCAGCAGACTGGGGCAGAGGTGGTAGAGGTGACCATCAGAGTTCAGGTCAAAGCCAGGACAAGCGCAGGGGTCAGAGGGCAGGAGATGAGAGTTAAGCTCACTATCAAAGGGCCATGGATTGTGCAGAAGTACTGACTGATCAGGCATAACCTGGCTGTGGGACCTGAAACATGACATAAACCCCCCCCGGGCCTGGACTTCCTCATCTGGGCCTCAGAGTCACCTGACCACAGGTTTTCACAGGTGGCAGGATTAGATGTCACTGCAGGAGGCACAAAGCAAACAAGTGATAGGCTCAGGTGCATTAGGGGACCATCTGCTCTCCATCCATTTCTCCCTCAGTGCAGAAGACACTGGTTCCCAGATCACTGAGCCAAAACCACCTAGAGGTCCTTCTACCTGCAAATCACCTTTCTTCCTAAGAAAACAAGAGCATCTCTACTTCACAGAACAGATGCCCTCTGGATCTCGCCTCTGGCTTCTGTTAGGGAGTGTCTGCCAAGTACCAAGCTTCGGGCAGGAGGAGAGCCAGCAGCTCATGGATTGGCAACTAGGGTTGGAGGACCCACCAGGAAATGCAGTGCCTCTCACTGTGCATTTGGTCATTCAAAATTTACCTTTTTACTATTCGTAATCCCTGATCTGTTCAGAACTACGAGATCAACCTGTAGCCTTCAAATGAGACTGGGTTACAATTTGCAATATAATATCAGGAAAGAACACTTAGTGGGCACTTTCATAGACTGTGTCATTTATCTAAGGCTGTTCCCAAAAGAGTTAACTAGACTGCTCCCCACTAAGCATCGCGGGGCTTCTCTATGTTCCCCATCTCACAAGCATCTCAGCCCGTCAGAGGTGAAGTTGTGTTGGCCGGGGCACAGACAGTATCCTGGCAGTTCCCAGGCGACTCCAGGTCAGCCCAGCAATGTTAACTCCAGCAAATGCACGTGTGCACCCTTGGACACAGCATGTTGTTCATCCATGTGGGCCATTGGACACAGCACATGGTTCATCTTTGTGGGCCCTTGGACATGGTTGTCTCATGTCTCCCTTGCACAGAGGGTCCTAGCCCTCCAAGCCCAAGGGGCTGAGAAGCTGGGCGAGGGAGAGGGTAGAAGGGGGGATATGAGTATAGGGAAGAAGCCCCCACATGTGGGCAGAACACCATCCTTCACTGACTACTTCTTTCCATGCTGGCTGGACATGAACGATCCAGTCAGAACAGTGCTGTACCAACCACCAAGCTGGGGCTGAGAAAGATGGACACGCTCTTCCCTGCCAGGGCATGGCTCCTACATCTGGGCCTCAACCCCACGGCTCAGGAAGTTTCTAAACATCTCAGGTGTTTGAAGAACCACTGATAAAGACCACAACAAAAGAAAATCGTCTTGCCGAAACCGGTTTGGCCCTGCGGACTGAAGGGTCCCGGGTTCGATTCCGGTCAGGGGCATGTGCCTGGGTTGCAGGCACATCCCCGGTGGGGGATGTGCAGGAGGCGGCTGATCGATGTTTCTCTCTCATCGATGTTTCTGACTCTCTGTCTCTCTCCCTTCCTCTCTGTAAAAAATCAGTAAAATATATAAAAAATAGAAAAGAAAAGAAAAAGAAAATCGTCTTGCCCACTTCTAGTTAAAGGTGAAGTTGTTTCCTCAATGTTCACCACCTCTGATTCTATGCACACACACACACACACACACACACACACACACACACACACACACTGTATTCTCCCCAGAAAGACTTGGAAAAGCTGCTTCCTCTCTTTCCCTTTGAAATGTCAGGCTGTTGGGAAAGAATGCCCTTCTATGGATAATGGGGGTGATTTCTTAAAATTTCTTACAGGGCTTTTCTTCATTTCCTACAGCATCGGCCTGAATGAGAGACAGAGTCGAGCCTGGTGTATGTACCACTGTGCTCAGCAGTCCACGCAGAGTGTGGAATCCCAGCCCAGGGCCACCGTCTGCAGGTTATCCTGAGCCTATACACTGACTTCTCCACGGGGGGGTGGGACCTTGCTAGCCTGGTTTCTTTTTGCTCCTTAGGCTGAAAGTATCTGAAAAACATTCATCGCTCATCTTCCTGGGAGGTGCTCTTTTTCAAGTCATCGTAGATGTCTGTTTTTTTCTTCAAAGAATTTTGCTCAGAATATGTCTAATGGAACTAGGCTGGGTAGAAAACAAAAAGTAGCTAAAAGATGAGAATGATGAAAAACATGATATGATTGTATAAATGACAGTCGAAGAGCTCGCTAAATACTTCCAGCCAGAGGGGGAAGCGACAGTGAAAGAACCCAGTGGCTGACATGGTGTCGAGAGGACCCCTGTTCCAGGTTCCTCCTGGCCGTGACCAACCCATATGATGTCTGTCCCATTCTGATGGTTTGCAATGGCTATTCCAGAGCTCATCTTAGTATCTGACCAGCCTGTGGCAGAAAGCATTCCCCTATGTCTAGCTGGCTCCATTGCAGGGCTCTATGCTGTCATTGCTATTATTCCTGCAGTGAAAATTACATCCTCCTTCTGTATTTCCCCCCAAACATGGAGGACAGCTGTTTAGGGGATCCCTGTGTGGATGGATACAGCTCAGAGATAGGAAGCTGGACTTAGCCACAGAGAGCAGGGACTGGGAACAGGTGAAGCTGAAGTGAGGAGCTGTCACCATCCGAGCCCCATGGAGCCATTGTCCAGCAGGCACTGTGCGGAGGCCTGGGGGCAGGCAGCCCATCTGTTCCCTGCCTTCGGGAACTTCCCATCGAGCCTGGCTGTCCACCCCAGACCTCCCTCTTCTCCCTCCTCTCTCCACCCTCTTCTTAACCTCCCCTGAACCTCTCTGCTCTCTCTTTCTTAGACACATACACACACGCACGTACCATGCTTTATTTGTTCTATGCAAACAAGGAGGCAATTAAATATATCAAAAGAGATCTTCTGACATCTGTTCAGAGGCTATTAAGGGTCAGAGGCTGTGAGAATGGAAGAGAAACTCTGCCTCCCTTCTCCAAATACTGAAACCCTCTCCTAGGATAAGAATTACATACACACACTTATATAATACACACACATACACACATATACACGTGCACATTATACACACACACACACACACACATTAAACGAAGTAACTATTAAACTAGTTGCTAATCTTTAGGCCTTTTTATTGTAATATAAAACAGAAGTTTTTCTTGTCATTTCTTATAAGACCTGTTCTCATTCTTTTAAACCACTGTGTTCTTCTCTGGGACTTTCACAGTTTTTCTCCAACACTTTTCAAATACAGGATCTAAAATCACCATTGCATGCCGATAGGATCTAGCTAACCTTAAAGAAATGCTTGATTTCATTCCTGTTGCTGGGCACAAAATCTCGCGCATCAGTGACAATCTGTATCATGTATGAGCAGCATCACCTCCTGGAAGTTCAGCCAGCATCCCCCCTCCCAGGGCCCTTAGGTGGACAAGGCTCATCCCTGTCCCTCTGCAGGGTCGGAGCCCATGGTCACTTGGTCCTGTGCAGGGAAGAGCTCTGCAAATAACCATCCAAGGGCAAGTCTAACAATCCTTAATGGTTTTTAATGCATCCTTTTCTTGGAGAGGAGGAGTGTGGCTCAGAGGGGAAACTAAGAGATAGATTAAAAACTGGGATATCTCCAGCATAACAAGGTCTCACTGAGCACAGGCAGGAAACACCCACTCCACACCACCCCACACTTTTAAGCTGCTGTGCAGACGGGTCCACATGTTGGAACAAGCCTGTGTGACTGATGGCTGCCCGAACACAAGGACAAACACTGGAAGGGGCACTAAGACAGGCCTGCCGTCCATGCTGTGCCTTTCACTGTGAGTTGCTTCTCCTAAAAATTATCTGGCTGTATTTCAAATGCAAGCTGGATTGTGGCTTTTAAACCAATTGTCTAGCATTTCTATCCATCACCTTTGGGAACAGATGTATGTTTCCTACATCATCGCTTATCAACAAGAAAAGTCCAGAAGAGCTGTGCTTTACTTAGGTCGGAGTTTAAAAAATAAATGTGATTAAAGTATAATTTCTGCAAATTACGTGTCATTCATCACAATAAATATTTAGAAGGAAAAACAACGTATTTTAAGATGTTATGTCTAATATTTAAGGATAGCAATGTCTGTTTATAATCTCCTCTCCCCTAATCATACTGTCTAATAATCTCATTCTATTTTCTAAAATTAGACAGTATACAGATGTTTTCTGAGTGAGAGTTAAATTAACCCTGATTTGTAAAATAGCTTTTTCCTCAAAATGTAAAATGTCAAAAATAGCAGATGTTAGACAGGTTATCATTACTCAGTTTAGACAGGATTCACCTGATAAGAAAGTCATTAAAAATGGGACCTGGCTGAGGTGGCTCAGTGGTTGAGCTCTGACCTATGAACCAGAAGGTCATGGTTCAATTCCTTGTCAAGGGCACATGCCCGGGTTGTGGGCTTGATCCTCAGTAGGGGGCATGCTGGAGGCAGCCAATCAACGATTTTTCTCTCTCATCATTGATATTTCTATCTCTCTCTCTCCCCTGCCCTTCCTCTCTGAAATCAATTAAAAAAAAATTTTTTTTAAATGGGTAGAATCCCCCTCAGGGCCTCCTTCCAGTTGTAAGTCTCCTCCCAGGGCCAACATCAGCATAGGTCTAAGAGGGACAGAGAGCAACAGTATCTGCTCATGGGCTTAAGGGACAGATTCCCTCCAAAGACAGGCAAGCCAGGGCCTTCTGGGGTCACGCCAGAGATGGGAAATACACAATAAAATGACTATAGATCATGCAAATTTTGGATGTGGTAATTCTACTACACTCAATCCCAATCAAGCTTGAACACAGCTCCTCCGGAGGCTCAGAACCCCAAACCTCTATCTACATTTTAATGCAGCAAAATAGTTACCTCATGGCCCTCAAGACCTGACCTTGTGTCTACACTCTACACCTAACAGTAAGAGCTTCCCTTCAAACACCTGTTCTTAGGAACTGAAGTTTCACAGGCATTGAGTGGATATGAGGATAAGGAAGAATAAAAACAGTCCTGGCTGGTTTGGCTCAGTGGATAGAGCATCAGCCTGTGGACTGAAGGATTCCGGGTTTGATTCAGGTCAAGGGCACATGCTGGGTTGCAGGCTCGATACCCAGTAGGGGGTGTGCAGGAGGCAGCCGATCAATGATTCTCTCTCATCATTGACATTTCTATCTCTCTCTCCCTCTCCTTTCCTTTCTAAAATCAATAAAAATATATTTAAACAATATTTTTTTAAAATAAAAATGAACACAAAGCTGTAAACAGCAACATAAATAATATAGATTTGTGAATATTACCTTTTTCTTCGATGCCTCTGACTTCTTCGACATGTTCTTCAAGTTTTTATGCAAATGATTAAGGACCTGAAAAACACACACTAATGAAATCGGTTTGCCTCATATCCCATAATTCACTGTCTCTTTGCATTGGCAATTCTTGGCACTCTGAAAGAGTAACACCACTATTTACAAAATCATTCAAATTGAAATGCACATAAGGTGATAATGTAATGATGATTGTGAATTGCCTACTGCATCCGTATCCAGGTGCAGACCGTGGTCAGAGCGCCTGATACAGAGCGTTCCTGTGCAAGTGGCTCTAGGGTTTTGTCCAAAAAGAGCCACACCACTACCCACCCTTGTTGGTCCACCTTCAACCTGGATCTCCCCCAAGGTTCTCCATCCTCACCATCCTCAGGTCCCCATACACGTCGGACACGGTGTTAAATCCTAGATATGCACAAAAGCTAGAGGTCTGTCACTCTTTGCTCTTTGCCACCTGTCTTCGCTACAAGTATCCTTAAAGCAAATTCCTACCCATCAGGCCTCCTTTCATTCTTTATTCAAATCATAATCACTGTGCTGAGCTGTGAAACAACCCACACTTGGAGAATTCAGCCTCACTCACAATCCATACACTATCAGCGAGGTCTGACAATCAATGCCCTGTCAGAAGTCTCCTTGGGAGACATGGGTTTCCTTCATCAGAGAAACTGTCTTTGTCTTCTCTTGCCAGTGTGGCAGACAGGAGAAACAATTTGGAACATTTGCCTTACATAGTACAGGAGTTGCCAGCAGGCCCATGCAAGACAGGTGTGGGAACTACTTTCATATCCCATCTGAGCGGAAATCTAAGGAAAACTGGCCTCTGGTTGACTAAGGGCTTTAGACTGTCCATCAGTTGCTGAGTGAGTCTCTCCAAGAACTCCACCACATTCCAGCCGCATCTTCATTTCCCTCTGGCACTGCAGCATGGAAATAATTTAATCAAATTGGACTTATTGCCAAAGCCCACCCCATGAACTAGATGCAGACTTCTAGGTGATCAGTCACACCTAACAGAAAAGCACAGGATTTATCAACCAAACTTGGGGCCCTGCACTGGTTAAGCTGTCACTGGGGTGTGAATTTCTGGCAGCAGATCCCCAGCTTTGCTAAAACACTTCCCATTTCCTACAGTGGTTTAGCATCATCTATGAGACAAGACTTTCACCTGCTAGAGTAGCATTGGGATCACCCTCACTACGTTGCAATGGATTGGGTTACTGTTCTGCCAGTGGAAATCATGGTACCAAAAATTGGATGGAACAAGATTTTGCAGAAGTAAATGAGAAAGTCTTTCAAGGGGGGGAGGTAAGAGCCGGAAGCAGGATGCTGCCTGGAGAGGACTGGCCTGGAGAAGTTCCTTGGTAGCAGCCTCCCCAGCAGGAGGCCACAGGAAGACACTGGTCACTGAGGACAAGGGATAAGAAGAGGAACAAAGAAGAGGCAGCAAAACAAAATCAGGGGGGGAACCTGGAGAGGAAGTCCAAACAGAAATGTCAAATGTTATCTGCTTCCTAATGCTGTTCGGGGGTCTGTTCAACAAACTATGGGATGACATTTCAGTAACACCTAAGGAGTGTTGTTGAGTAGTTCATGGAGAAAAAAACCCAACTGTACTGTTCCTAGCTCTGTGTTGCTTTAGGGGTCTATGCTATGTGCACATATTAATGTATTCTGATGCATCACAGTGAAGGTTTGCCATAAAAAGAGAAAGAATGTAGGTGTCATGATGGGTTGCTAAGACCTTTCTTTAGGAGTAATGATGATGTCATGGTGGCATCTCTGCATTGTTCTATGCACTTAGAAGTGTGTGTAGGAAGCATATACTCAAACCCGAGCCAAGCTCATCATGGGCATCAGATACATCTGGGGGTGTGGAGGCACTTGGCGGGGTGAGCATGTCACCAGTAATGAATGTCTGAACTCAACATTCAGGTAGCAAAATCCTTAACTGAAGAGTTTACACTTGATGGTTGAACTAAAGAAAAACAACTTGACATTATATATTATCTCCATCTGTTTGAGCATGAAGTGAATTTGCTTAATTACATTGAATTCAAAAGATGATTTAGACTTATGCTTAAAAGCAAACTATTCCCATATTTAAAAATATCCCTATGACCATGTGTTTATTGAATTTTTAAAAATCATTTTCAAACTTTGCTCTATGAAATACATGTAGCCTAATTTATTCCTAGAAGCTTACCTAGTCATTTCCATTAAGAAGACCTAAAAACTTCTGGTCAATGAAGAGATTACGCTTCAGTTCTAATCTATGTAATTACGAATTAAGAGGCACATGTGTGAACCCCTCTTGTCCCAGGCATCATGTCTCCAAGGTCCTCACCACTGTCCCCTCCCTCAGAGGACAGGGAATCCCTACATTGAAATCCTTCCTGAACCATTTGCCAGCTTCCTGATTTGAGTCAGTTGCTTCATTCCTCCAAAACCCCTTTCCTTTATCAATAAAACAGGGGCCAGAGCTCCAGCCTGGGGGTTAAATGATCCAGGGCACATGTCAGGCTGCTGTGCTGTGCAGCGGGAGCTCTGCTCTCTATTAGCAGAAGCCCGTGAGTAAGCCAGCCATTTGCCAAAGAGCTAAGCTAGAGTTCTTTCCTAAATTCCCTAATCCTTTCATGCAGGCCATTTTTTCAAATAATGTCCAAAACTATCCCCATTCAGAACAGACATAACTCTGCTTGGATGGTAGGGGGAAGGAAACAAACAAAATCCAGGTGGCTTATATTAAATGTTGTTGCTGGGAATAATACTTTCTGAACTGAATAAAATTATTGCTGTACATCATCTGGTTATTCATGGCACCAAAGATGTCTCTGGAGACTCAGTCAGGACTCTGTGAAGAAATACCGCTTCCCCACTGGGTTTATAAGGCTAAACTTCTGTGTGAAATAAAATATGAAGTTCTGTCCCCAGGGCAATGGCTTTACAGAGCCAGGTCCCGTCCAGCCTCCCTCGTGGGAGTCACCTCCTCATGTCCCAACTGAGTGCTAGGCAGTGAGCCCCGCCACCCTGGCAAAAGGCCCACAGCCTCAGAGTGACGAGTGCCCCCTGGGACTGCAGTCTCAGGCAGGCTGTCCAGGTTTGAGGAGCTAAATCTGAGCAGATATCCCTGTACCTAGAAGCTGGGGCTGAGCCTGCCTGTCAGCTGCCAGGACAACCTGAGGTTGCAGGAGGCCACGCCCTGAGAGTAAGTGGGACTCTGGGAAGTGAAGTGCAAACTTTCCCAGCGTCCCCCAAACTCCAGGTAACTTTCTCCACATCAAACCAGCAAAGCTGTGGTGGAGACAGGGACCAGGGCAAAACGGTGGAGGCCGCTGTGGGGCTTGGAAAGGGGTGAGGGACACGCAGAGAAGCCCCAGGGCCCTCACACCCCAGACCCTGCAGCCAGCTGCACCACCCTCTAAACCCCCCCCCCCCATGCCCACCTTGGCATAGCAGAAGCAGATGAGCAGCAGTGGCAGCAGGTAGCCAAAGATGAAGGTGCACACCACGTAAGCCTTCTTATGGCGCTGGTCGGGCCATTGATCCCAGCAGAAGGTCAGGTTGCCATTGTCAGACTCCCGGTGGAAGAGGCGCTGGTAGTAGGCCACTGGCGAGGCCATGGCAATGGACAGCGCCCAGATCAAGCCCATGCCCAGCAGCGCGTTGCGGGACACCCTCAGGGAGGAGGAGCGCCGGGAGTGCACAATGGCCACATACCGGTCCACCGACATCGCGACCAGAGTGAAGATGCTGACCAGCATGGAGACAGTGAAGAAGTAGTGGGTGAACTTGCAGATGAAGGCGCCCAGCACCCAGGTGGGCAGCGCGTAGACCGTGGCCTGGAAGGGGATGCAGAAGAGCAGGTAGGCCAGGTCGGCGATGCTCAGGTTGAGAATGAACAGGTTGGTGGTGCTGCGCGGCTTGCCGGGCTTGCTGCGCGCCATCACTGTGATCACCAGGCTGTTGCCCAGCACGCCCAGCGCGAAGATCAGGCCGAACACCACCAGCGTGATGAAGTTCTCCACGCCAACGCCGAAGAGCGGCGGCGGGTCCGGGGCGGGGGGCTGGGGGCCGCTCACGTTCCCCTCGCTGAGGTTCCCGGCCACCAACTCCATGACCTGCGGGGGCGCCCGGGCGCGCTGGTGAGGGCTGCCTGCCAGGGACAGGGGTGCCAGGGGGCTCCCTCCTGGGACCCAGCCCCGAGCTCAGAGTGCCCGTTTCCCAGCCTGAGCAAACCTGGCGGCCACGCGCCTGGGCGGCTGTGCCTAGCGGCGCTGTCTTTGGGCGGGTCTGTCTGAGTGCTGGACCTTCCCGGGCATAAGCGGCGGTCCCGAGAGCTCAGGGAACCCCTCCCCGGACGCCTCAGCCCGCCGCGCGGACTCTGAGCAGGGGAGGGAGGACCTGCGGTGCAGCCTAGGAGGTGGAGAGAGCCCTCTCCGCGCTTTACCTGCTCCGGATCCCTGCGACCGATTCCCTCGCTCCGGGGGTGGCTTCCCGCCACACCTGTTGCTCTGAGCCGCTCTCTTCCCCAGCGCACCAGCGGCTGTGCTGTGTGCGCACAGAACTCCTCGCGGTTCCTGGAGAGGGCTCCCCACGACTCCCAACCGATTCCACTCCCAGCTGTTGCCAGGGTCCCAAGTCGCCAACAGAGCCAGCGCTCTTTCTGCGCTTTCCAGGCAGTTGGCAGTAGGGAGCTCGGGTCTGTTGCAAATGAGAGGCAGTGCGGACACTGCCAGGACAAATCCGCGCCCCTGGGAGCCTCCCTGCCCCCGGAAGTCACCGCCCAGGGACTACTAGACCAATCCTAAAGGGTGGGTCCCCGCCCACCTCCTCACTGGAATCAGACGCCCTCTGCAAGGTGCTAACCAGCCTTAGTCCAGCAAAAGGGTGGCTCCGCTTGCGGCACAGGCCCAGTGGCGAGGGCAGCTGAGCTGCTCAGAGCGCGGGTGGGAGGCCAAGGGGTGAGCAAGCCTCCTCACCCATCAGCACCCTTCATCTTTCTCCCAGTGAGAGCGCTCCTTGCCCTTTAATAAACCTCAGGAAGTCAGTGATTGGCATTGTGAAATCCCTAATCCCCACCCTCACCCTGCCCACCGCTAGGAGGGAAAGGGCGGGGGGGGGGGGGGGGGGGGGGGGGGGGGGGGGAGCCTGTTTGAGTTTTCATTGTAAACATGCATAAGTGAGATGAAGGGGGAAGGTATATGTTCCCATCATCCAAATTTAGATCAGTTTTGCCTTACATTGCTCATCTGAGTGACAGAGACAGAAGCACCAACATGAAATATTTGTGAAGTGAAAGAACATGTTTAATATCACTGTTGTAATGACAACAAGAAAATGAGCTGCTTTAGTATAGAACTGTCAGTAAACGTCATCCCTGTCTGTAATCGTCTGGTTTCCAACTAGAGAGCCCAAACAGGTTCATTCATTTGCAGCGTTTATATGATTTGTCCTACAGTCACTTTACAAAACACCTGCATGTTTTCTGCACTCTCCAAATGGCGAGTGAGTGTCCCTGCACCAGACACAGTGTTTGAAAGCACAGGTGAGTCCAGTGGGACACAGAAATGTAGGTGTGGAACAGGGCGAGTGCTGTGATAGAAGCATGCACAACCTTGAGGCAGGGCCATCCTCGCTTCCGGAGTTTGGGAAGTAGTATCTCATTTCTCTTTCTTTTTATCTCACTGGTTCTAATCTGCCTCATTTCCACAAAGATTTTAATGCAGTTTGTTGAACACCTACTATGTACTAAGTACTTTACTTTCAGTCATTGTTTCATTTTGTGGACCCTGAGAAAGAAGCTACCTACCAAGGAGGGCCACAGCCATTTCTACACAGGGGGCTCTCCTGCAAACTGCACTGAACTGGCCGCCTGCTCTGTTTTTACCATCTGAGCCAGCCCTTATTAAGGAATTCCTGGAATCCTATTTCAACTAATAGGACTGAGGCTTTCCCTGTCCAATTGGAGTTATGGAACTATATCCTCCATGCGCATTTTTACTAACCAATCAGAGTGTCTTCATTCTGACCAACAAACTGCAAGGACTTGGAGTCCTAATTTGCATGATGATGGGCCAATCAGGGACCAAGGGTGGGGATTTCTCTCTATATAAGTCACCTTCCCTTCTGTCTCAAAGAGTGCATGCTCCCTTTCCAGCTGAGACTGAAGATTGTGTTTCCCTGGTGGAGCTGAAACACCAAAGCTGTCTCAATGGACCAGAGCAGAGCAGAGCTGGAGGGGAGCCTTATCCCAGGGCTGCCTCTTAGACCACTGTTTCACAATTGAGCTGATTGCACTGAATAAAGTTTACTTCCTCACCACACCCCTAATTGGGGATTCCTTTTGGTGTTGAACTAGCACCAATGACCATCATCTGACAATTTAATACTAATGATTCTCTTGCAAGGAACTTACAACCTAACAAGATAAGGGAGTTTCTGGCAAGGGAATTGTTTTATCCACACACATTTCCCTGAGGACAAAATTGAGTATAAGTAACTTGCTTATCCAAGTATCTTGCTAAAACAAGAACATTGTTATCTTCCCTAAGAGGATGCCGCCAAATCTCATTAAATCGCCTTGCCCATCAGAGTTACTGTTTCTCCCAAGGGGCTCTCTGACCTACACTTTCATGGTGTTCTGTGGTGGACAGCTCATTGCTCTGAAAGTTATTTGTAATAATAGTTAGAAGAGAGTGGGGTTTTTTTTATTGTTATAAACTCCTTTCAACATGGGACATATATGAAGAAATTATATCCAATACCCATGTAGCCACCACCCAGCTTGGAATAACAAAAAATTGTCAATAGAATTGCAACTACTTTTATGTACTTCCCCAAATCACAACCTCCACCTCCACCCTCACCATCTTCAGGTAACCTGTGTTGTCCATTAGTAATTTATTTATACATTTGTGACATATGCATATGTTTTTAAATAATAAACTGTTTTTTATTTATTTTAAGGTTATACATTGGGTCTCATAATGCTTTTTTTCCTGAAGGTATAATTTGCCTGGTATTACCATTGATATGTCAACATTCTTTGCTTTTTGTTGACCTGCTAAATAATTTGTGAACTTCCTATGTCCTGTGATTTAGAAGTAGCTCTTGGATACAGCACATAGCTGTTTGACCATCTCTAATTTTTTTAACTGGAGAGTTTGGTACATTTATATTTATTGTTATTATTGATCCATCTGAACTTATTGTTAACATTTTATTTTATACTTCCCATTTGTTTTCTATGTCCATGCTTCTTTTTAATCCCTCTTGTTTTACATCTTTTGGATTTATTGTTTGTTTATTTGTTTCACCTTAAAATGGGGAGAAGAAGGAACTTGTTAACCTAACTAAAGCTGACTCATGCATTCCTTCGGCAGCAGAGCTTGTATAGCTGGCTCACTTACTGATGGTGGAGCCTTCAAGAATCCTGGTATTTTACAAAGGTTTCAGCTCCATTTATCAGCATAATGATTATATTTTGTATGCCACAGGCATGCATTTCCTACTCTCAAGACTCCCAGTCCCTTCTTTTTTTTTTTCTTTTTTTTTTAATTAAATCTTTATTGTTCAGATTATTACATTTGTTCCTCTTTTTTTTCCCCCATAACTCCCCTCCTCCCAGTTCCCGCCCCACCCTCCGCCCTCACTCCCCACCCACTGTCCTCATCCATAGGTGCACGATTTTTGTCCAGTCTCTTCCCGAATCTCCCACACCCCTTTCCCCCCCAGGAATAGTCAGTCCATTCCCTTTCTATGTCCCTGATTCTATTATAATCAACAGTTCATTCTGTTCATCAGATTATTTATTCACTTGATTCTTAGATTCACTTGTTGATAAATGCATATTTGTTGTTCATAATTTGTATCTTTACCTTTTTCTTCCTCTTCCTCTTCTTAAAGGATACCTTTCAGCATTTCATATAATCCTGGTTTGGTGGTGATGAACTCCTTTAGCTTTTCCTTATCTGTGAAGCTCTTTATCTGACCTTCAATTCTGAATGATAGCTTTGCTGGATAAAGTAATCTTGGTTGTAGGTTCTTGGTATTCATCACTTTGAATATTTCTTGCCACTCCCTTCTGGCCTGCAAAGTTTCTGTTGAGAAATCAGCTGACAGTCGTATGGGTATTCCCTTGTAGGTAACTGAGTTTCTTTCTCTTGCTGTTTTTAAGATTCTCTCTTTATCTTTTGCTCTTGGCATTTTAATGATGATGTGTCTTGGTGTGGTCCTCTTTGGATTCCTTTTGTTTGGGGTTCTTCGCGCTTCTTGGACCTGTAAGTCCATTTCTTTCACCAGGTGGGGGAAGTTTTCTGTCATTATTTCTTCAAATAGGTTTTCAATATCTTGCTCTCTCTCATCTTCTGGCACCCCTATAATTCTGATGTTGGTACGCTTGAAGCTGTCCCAGAGGCTCCTTACACTATGCTCGCATTTTTGGATTCTTTTTTCATTTTGCTTTTCCGGTTGGGTGTTTTTTGCTTCCTCGCATTTCAAATCATTGACTTGATTCTTGCGCTCCTCTGGTCTGCTGTCGGGAGTCTGTATAATATTCGTTATTTCAGTCCGTGTATGCTTAATTTCTAGTTGGTTCCCCAATATAAGATCGAGGGTCTTATTAGTTTTCTTGTAGATCTCATTAAGTTTATCGGCAGCTTCTAAACAGTTCTTGAGAGACCTTAAAAGTGTGGTTCTGAACTCTATATCTTCCATTGACAATTTTGTCCTGTTTCTTTGTCTCCGCATTTTGTTATGCTTCCTTGGTGCACCCCCTAGTGGTCTTTGTTCGCAGTCTTATAGTTAAATCTTGATTGTTGTAGCTAATTCCAGGGAGGGTTTGACCTCCAGGCCAAGTGGCTATGAGAATCAGCTGTGTCAGCAGTGAGAGAACTTCTGTCCTCTAGGGAGGTGCTAATCTAGCCTTTGCCTGAGGCTATCCGGCAAAAGCCTCTGTGCAGGGCTTGGGCGGGGCGGGTCGCACAGGATCAACAGGGTGGGCCGGAGAGAGCAGTTATGGCGGCTCTCAGTCCTGGCCCCAGGGGCTCTGCCTCTCTGAGTCCCAGCACCCGCTGCAAAGCTCAGAGAGAAAGCTGCACTCGCTCTGACCGAAGCCAGACAGTCCCACTTCTCCCTTTTGAGTCTGGGTCGCTAAAGACTCGCCCGGATCTGGAGCTCAGAGTCTGCGACTCCCTCCCGATTGAAAACGCCAACCGCGCCCTCCGCCGCCAGCCCGCTTGCGCACTCCACACCTCAGAATTTGCCTTCAGCACTGCGCCTCCTCTGAGTGTCCGTATGCGTTTCTCTTTCCTCCTAGTTGTAGGACTTCCACTCAGCCAGCGTTCCTGTGGTTCTGGGTGATGTCCCTTCCGTTTTTTGGTTTCACTTTTGAAGTAGTTGTTCAAAGCAGCAAACTCCGGCGTTAACCTATGCCGCCATCTTGGTTCTCCTCCCAGTCCCTTCTGAGTAAATATGGAGGTCAGTGCCAGATCCTTCTGTCTCTCTTCTCCATGGAGCTACTGTCAGCCTCTGGGCAGGTTCCTATTTCAGCTCCAGCTCTGGGAGGGAAGGACTTACCCTGTGCTGAGAGGCAGCCCCTGTCCCTCTGCAGCCATTGCTGAAACCTTTGGGCCTCTGTCACTGCCTTTCTATGTTCTCAGTTCCCTATCTG